TTGATTCAATAGTTTAATTGATTGTTTTTTGATTGTTTAATTGATTTGTAAAAGTTGATTCAATAGTAGATGATCGGAAATAAGAATTATTGCTTATTTTTGATTGTTTAATTGATTTGTAAAAGATGATTTGTAAAAGTTGATTTGTGTAATTGATGCGAATATAATTCTTATTTGTGCTTGTTTAATTGATTGAAATGTAATGGTTGATTTTGTTGATTTCAATCTGCATTATGTTGAAGGCAAAAATGACTATCGCAATGCGAAATGAAAATCGCAATGCGAAATGAAAATCGCAACGAGAGAATCGCAATGCGAAATGAAAATCGCAATGCGAAATGAAAATCGCAACGGGATAATCGCAACGGGATTTTCATTTCGCATTGCGATTCTCTCGTTGCGATTTTCATTTCGCATTGCGATTTTCATTTCGCATTGCGATTCTATCGTTGCGATTTTCATTTCGCATTGCGATTTTCATTTCGCATTGCGATTCTCTCGTTGCGATTTTCATTTCCGCATTGCGATTTTCATGTTGGGATTTTCATTTCGCATTGCGATTCTCTCGTTGCGATTGTAATTTCCGTGTTGCAATAGTCAAATGCATGCCTAATAGTGATAACAACTGAATAACAAGAGTTGGTTAAGTCAAAATGGTTGGCCTGAGTCATTAATTCAACTGAAAATGTTAAAAGTTCACACATAAAATCCACATAATACAACGTTTGCATTTAAAAATCACCTAAGTTAACAGTCCCAAAAGGTGAAGCCAATTGTGATTGGGATTTTAAAGATGATTGCATTTTGCTTGACACCATATGAGCTTTGGATTTTGATGAGGATCCATATTTTGGTAGAGGAAAAGATGATTTTGATGGCACTGGTGATCCACATGTCAACCTTGTATGACCACTTTCCTTGCACCGACTACATGTCGATCTCTTCTTCTCTTCACCCTTAGACGGTATACGATCGTGACTTTTTGGTCGGCCAGGTAGCCTTCTGTCCATGGCTGGTGGCAAAACTGTTTGTAAGTCATCTGGTATGTCCCACTCAGAAGGATGTGGAATAGGATAGACAATCTCGGCATAAGTCTATCGATAAGCTTCTGTAGTGTAGCAATCCATAGCGTATGCGCTTGAATCATCTTGGTTTAAATGAAGAGCAACTTTTATAACATGGCCACACGGATAACCAGATGTTTGCCATTTCATACAACTACACGTCTTTGCATTTAGATCGACTAGCCCATTTAAGTTATTATCCAGTACTTGAAACAAGTGTTTGAACATGGTTCAACTCTCCATGACGTTGACTTCACAACGTTTCGTTATCTTTTTTTCAGTCCATGGTGTAACACGATGTTCCAATGTTCCTGTAAATTTAAATAAACAATACTTAGTAAAATATATAAATTTGATAAGTTACGAATTCAAAGAAATAATACCTGCATGGTTTCTTTTCTTGTAGTACCACTGTTGAATAGAGGCTCGAAAAAACTCCATTAACATTGTAATGGGTAATTTCCGGGAATGACGACTTAGAGCGTTGATTGATTCTGCACTATTAGACGTCATGAAACCATATCTTGCTCCAAGTTGATGTACTCTTGACCATCTTTCAAACCCGACATCTTCTAGTGTTTGAGCACACTGAGGCAAAACACGTCTTAAACAATTTATATGCTTATTGAAATCCACTTCCCGATAAGCTTTTACAGCCTTCCAGTATGTCCATTTGTGCTTTTTTACCAGCAGACCTTGATTTTAGATTTCTATACAAATGAACACCACAAAGTCCATGAAAAGCATCTGGGAAACACCTTCTAACAGCGTTGTCAATTGAGTTTGCCCTATCGGATATGATTGTCAGATTGCTAATAGGACCTATGCAATCCCTAAGATGCCCCATAAACCATGTCCATGAATCAGAGGTTTCAGATTTGCCAACCCCGTAAGCTATTGGCAATATCCCATTGTTAGCATCCATGGCTACTGCTAATAAGTTTACTCCAAGGTATCGACCTTTCAAATGTGCTCCGTCAACTATAATAACTGGGCGCATGCAAGTAATAAACGAACGAATCTACAAAATAATATACACAAGAAATAATCATTTAAATGTGAAATGCATGTAACTAACAAAAATGAGTCAACAAAATTATATTGATTTACTAACCGTAGCACCAATGGCGATAAACAGCAACTCAAAGCGTCCATCTCTATCTGTTTTGATATGAGTTACCGACCCAGGATTTTTCAGCTTTAAATTGTGACAATAAGCCGGCAGTTGGGCAAACGATGCTTCTGGCGACCCCCTCAACAATTCCAAGGCATAACATTTGGCTCTCCAAGCTTGAGAATATGATATACTAATCTTGAACCGAGCATTCAGTCAGTCATAATTTCATGTCCCCGATATACCCTGCCATTCAAAAACATTAACTCAGCCAGAAAACCACCCAACACCTTTTTGTTTGCCTGTCTATGGTGAGGAAAAACTTGGGTTCTTGAACATGTATGTTTATCAATAAAAGTCCTAACTTGGAACATTTTGCAATCTTTTATTCTCTTTGCAATCATACGCCACGTACAGTTTTTGTCAATCATACACCTTGTTTCGAAACGATCTTTGCTTGATTTGTTAACTTTTAGTTGATAGCCATCTTCCACACATTTCGTATACAAAGCTATCTTCAAGTCTTCCTTTGTATCAAAACAATCATCTTTCTTGATACGAATAACTTTTGTGTAACAATCAACTGCTTTCTTTACCAACTCTTCTTCCGGTATCTGAAGTAATTCTGGCATATTCCAGTTATACGCCCGTGGCATTTTCTTTTCTTCGGGGACTTTTTCTTTTTCTTTTTCTTCTTCAGGATTATATGAATTACAGAATGGATGTTCAACATGTTCATTCACAGTCGTAACTTCCTCCTCATTATCATCAACAATATCTTCTTCGTCAACGGCTGTTTCATCATCAAAATTTTGGTATTGACCAATATCAAAATCATTACACGCAGGGTCTGTTTCTTCTTCTGAAACATCATCAAAATCCGTGTATTGACCAATATCAAAGTCCGGATATTGACCAAGACCAAATTTTGAATACTGACTAGTACTCACAATTTTTTCTGTTGGCTCATCATCGTCTAACTGGTCAATACGAAAACCGGAATTTGGTGCTGAAAGTTGATTGGGATTTGGATTAGAGAAAGGTTGTGGGTTTTGAGAAAAACTTAGTTGATTACTACCCGCTACTGACCCAACAATACTACTTCTAGGTTCAACAACATACAATGTAACATCATCTTGTGAAACACTAATGTAAGCAATGAATCGTTCAACATCTTCATTGTCGGTTAACAAATAAACTTTACCATTTCTCTGATAAGATAGCCTAAATCCACTTAGGGGCTCTAAATTCAATTTCTTTGAAACACGTAGCATTAGAGTTTCATAAGTTAACTTTTGTAAAGACAATTTTAGTTGAAGATTCATGGGTAAAGGCATATATGTAAAACACCATGAACATTATCCCATGACCCTCCAAAACACAAATCTATCCAAACATGATCAACATTAGATGATTTCATGGTTGTAAATTAATTTACTAAACAGACGAGCTGCGAAACTAAAACCTGTTGCCGGATTGGGAAGGATGTCGTTGGATATAGGAACGGATGTCGCCGGAGAGAGTGATAGATGGAGATGGAATGAGTTGCGATTTAGGGATTTAGTTTATGATTTCAGTGTTATATACCCAAAATTTCAGTGTTGTGATTTACAGATTCTCGTTGCGATTTACGGATTATCGTTGCGATTTACGGATTCTCGTTGCGATTTATGGATTATCGTTGCGATTTACGGATACGCGTTGCGATATACGGATACGCATTGCGATTTACCCATACGCGTTGCGATTTACGGATACACGTTGCGATTTACGGATACGCGTTGCGATTTATGTGTTCGCGTTGCGATTTTGGAAAATCGCAATGCGAATTTGTACTATCGCATTGCGATTTTCAAGAATCGCGTTGCGATTTTGGAAACTGATTTGCGATTCTGGGGGATCGCGTTGCGATTGTTATTTCGCGTTGCGATTTTGTTGGTCATTTTGGCAAATCCAAAAAAAATTGGTTAAAATCGTATATTATAACTTTTTTTTTTGTCACTGAGGCGATTTTCTCTTAATGAAAATACATTTGACCATGCAATCTACTACTTCATTTGCTTTTCTTTTCATAAGTGGAAAGTTATAGAGTTGTAGGTTCGAAATCTATATCAGCCATTTTAGTTTATCTTAGATCTTTAAGAAACGGTGTCGTTTGTTTCTTGATAAAGAGTCTAATAGTGAACTTATAGCCCCCAAAGGAACGGCCTATTAGCTCCTAATAACGTGAAGGTCGCAGGTTCGAGACCTGCATGGGCCATTAATTGCGGGTATCGAAACTTTTTGGATTGTTGACTGCATTTTAACGGAAACGTTGTCGATCTGAGTCATCACATTCAGAGTCTCTTCTTAAGGCCAAGCAAACTCAATTTTGGAGCGCAGTCAGATATTTTATTTTTAAAATGTAAGATAAATGCTTCCAGTTTTGTTATTTACCTTTTCTGCAATATATAAACAAAATTAGTATATTAACAAATCTTTATTTACAAAATTTATCCCATCTCTTGTTAAGCCAGAGTAAACACAATTTATAAAACTAAATAGAATAAATGTTCCAGTGTGATAATAATTTATGAATTTTCATCAGGATCAATCGGATTGTTCAAATACTATTTAACGTAAAAGAAAACATTTTTAAAGGATGAAATGAGATTTTATTTTTAAAATAAATTTAATTCATTTTCATTAGGGTTCTGCTGGATTTTTTTTCTTCTGAACAAACAGCCATTTCATTTACAAATATGATGATTTTCATTTGAAGAGGATTATTTTTAAATATAAAATCTAAATTTATTATTTCAAATTAGAAAATAATACATGATTAAATCCTATACAAAAAGGGAGTGCCGCTAGACGCTAGTCTCCGAGCTCATTTATTTTATCCGACAACACTGCAGACAGTATGATAAGAGATGATTAAGTAAGCTTTCAAACTACTCCAACTTAGCCGCTAATGTAGCATCCTCATCTTCATCTTCATTATCTAATTCTTGCTCTACACCCTTCACCTGTATCACGACATTCGAAAGGAAACCGATTAGAAAGGAGGCCGAGCTCTAGATCTACTCGATAATTCCTAGACAAATAACAAGCAATAAATGTGTATTATATTTAACATATACTTTAATGTCCAAGAACAGTGTATGCTTTGAAATTCAATAATGGAATTGAAAGAAAAAGTTCTATTGCCGGGTACTATTATTTAAACCGAGAATGTAAACGTACTTGTCAGCATAGACATAACCATCACTATTACTCCAATAGTACTCAGATCATGATCTCAATCATGTACTCGAGAGCTGAATCAGCTGATATGTGTACTTAAGTATGCATAGTGAAATAATGCAGACACCAACATACAGATTTATGCTCATTTAATATAATTTAACTCCTATTTCTGTTCATCCTCCTCCTACCTGATACAAAAATCAGTACTTCAGCATTGGAGTGAGAACTAATGCAAGTGCATACCCTCTTCACCACAAAAGAAATCAACTCAACAGGAGTCCCTAAAGCTAATAACCATTGATAGGAATAAAACCCCGCATCAGAGCATGTATCGAGATACGGACCAGACTAATCACTCCATCAGATACCAAGGTTAAAGACAATATGATCATTATAACCATGCCAAAAAGTGAACAATTGCACTATATAGTTTAGCAGACAAAGATGGTTTAACGCTAGGATATAAATGCTTCTCATCCTACATTGTCAATGGACTGAGGATGGGATGATTATTCCTTGACTATATGATCCAATGAAGGGGGCTGGGAGGATAAAATTTAGAATAAAATGGACTACAAGGTGATAAGTCAATAAAGGGGGGTAAACATGGTATAATTTGACACTTCCCTACTTTACCATGTTAACAAGTACCGTAACACAAACTCGGTTCTGAATGTTGCATACAAGTATGAGTACGACACGGATATGTTCAATTTTTTTTTTCAGTAACATGGAACTCAAATATGCGTTTTCTTGATAAGTTTATTTGGTAGACAGTGATAAGGCACAAACAAGGTGATTTGACCTTATAAAACTTATTATCCAATTATATTTTTTTTAATTTTAATCACATTAACATGAACATGGAATACCAGAAACTTTATCCTTCTCTATTTGTTATTTCAGTATGTGTTAAACACACAATTTGAAACCAATCACTTTCCTTTTCAAATGTCACTCATCCCATTCTCTCCACCCATATTCATACCAAACAGATTCTGAATAAAGAATAAGGGTGGTCATTGGTTATTACCTCTGGAACATAATGCATTAGCATATTTTCAATGCCCGACTTTAAAGTAACAGATGAGCTGGGGCAGCCACTGCATGCTCCTTGCATTTTTAATTTAACTATTCCTGTGTCTCTACAAGCGCGAACAGGAAATGTTCAATCAATGATAATTCAAAAGGCATATAAATAAAGTATGTTTGTACATCCAAAAGATAATTTAAACCAAATAAGGATAAAAGGAAGTTTACGGATCAAATCCCCGATATTCAATATCCCCACCATCATCTTGCACTGCTGGTCGAATTCGAGTCTCCAGCAATTCTTTGATCATTGCAACTGTTTCAGAGTCATCCTGAGTCATGCAGTAGCATTTACAAGATTGATTCACAGATCTTCACAAATATGAGGTAGCAATTCTGATAATAAAGATGCTAAAAAAGAAGGGAAATTCTCAACTAGAAGAATATAAACACATTTTTATTTTCCAGTCAAACAATGTTCAATAACTGATATTACTATCCCACGAACATTACACCGTTCCTTCCACACTGGTACATTTTCACTTCCTTTCATCTTCAAATATATTTTTTCATCTTCAAGTATGGGTAGCACGATAATCATTAATGGGTTGAGCTTAAGAATATAAATAAAAACAAACGATTCTATCTTTCTTAATTAGTTGTTGGTTTGGTTTGAAAAATTAGAAAATACGAAATGGCCAAATAAACCTATTCCAACACACTTGACAAGCCAACCACTACCAAAACCGACAGAACTGAATCAAGTGAACTGACTAGGGTCTGTTTCAGTGTTTTACTCAATTCAACCATCTATTACTAAGTCCTACATAACATATGTGGGAAGAAAAGAATGATTTTGCAGCAATTGCATAAGTATCATGCCTAGCATTGCAATTGGAAACTGCTTTTATTTCCGATGACATAATTTTTTTACACAAGATAAACTCTAGCTGAAAAACAAATGCCTGTTTCATTTAATCTGTGCCTTCTTCAAAGCTTTGAAGACATGACAGTACAGCTTAAAAATTCAAAGAAACAATCCAATCTTAAAATATCAGATACAGGATGAGAAAAACAAAATGTTTAGAAAGAGAACGCCAAACAGTCAACAAATATGTGTAAACTCTTCAGAAAAAACTGAGGTTTGAAAAAGTACCTCATGAATAGCAGTGTCTGTGGATATTGCAGTTGTTGAGTCTAGAAACAAGGGCTCTCCAGAGGAATAAAACTCCATAATTGCAGCAAAAATTTCTGTCTTGAGGAGATCCCAAGAAGCATCATCAGACTTTGTTACAGTAATAAAATCGGATCCAAAGAAAACACGAGTGATACCTGCAATGCAAGGAAACAGGATTCAATTCATCCAATCATCAATCAAAATATAGTTGAATATTCAATCCCAGTAATAGAAAAAAAAACACTTTAGCATAATTTGAAACGTGACTAATAGAAAATAGCAAGCATCTTCGTCCAACTTTTATGTCTAATTCCATTTCAAGCTTAACTAAATGGATATCCAGAAGCTTAATTCCTTCACCTACCAGGGCTTCATTGTAAGATATAAACCTGATTGAGAAGAAGCCAATTCACCACCGTTTCTTCTTCCTTTTTTCCCGATATTTTAGTATGAATGAAATTGAGTTATACAATAAGAGGTAACCATCTTTCTTCTCATAATCCTCAATATAATTAACAACCATAGTTTCATTCCTAGACAGGAAAAATGACAAATCAGCTGCAACTTGATAGGATAATAAGATAAGTTTGTTACCGTCAATTTCATACAATGACTTAGCCAATGGCGAATTCATGGCGGAACGAGTGTTTGGGAAATCAGCACTCCCAACTTCCATCACCGCTTTCCCTGGATAAAACATCAAAGACGAAGGATTGGGTGTAGATTGAGTTTGGATAAACATGCTTCTCCTTTGCACTGCAACCCAAAAGAAAAATTAAAATCCATCAGATAATTGGAAATAAAAACCAAGCCAAACGGTTTTAGAACAATACAAAACCAAACAGACCAACCTCTAAAATGGGTCCACTCGAGAGGAAGTAAAGATGCGGATGACTCAAAATTAGAGGAAAGGACGGCGCTCGAGTTTCCGACCCCCAGAAACGATGGCGCTCTGGAGGAAGAGAAGATGAGGCGGCGAGATATTAACTGGGAAGGGGAGGTAGACCGGCATGTTTGGCGATGAGGTAGGGCTCGACCAATCAATCTTGCAACACCTTTCATGGATGCTTCTCCCTTTCTCCGACGAAAAAACGAAACGCGCCTTCGGATATCAACTTCAGAATTTTAGTCCGGCGGATCTGGTCGATACTTATCTGCCCGAATTAATTCGTTACTTATTTAGTATTAAATATTAAAAGATATTTTTATTAATAATTATATATATAATAATTATATATATAATAATTATATATATATATATATATATATATATATATATTCATAAACTAAATATTTTTTTAAACAAATAGACACATGTCAACTACGTTAATTGTTTTCATTTTCGCTTGTTTTAATTTGGCAAAAGATGGGATAATGTGGTGGGAAAAAAGTATTAGAACGTTGGAGAAATATTTTTAGAAAAAACCTTCGGATCATTTGACATTTTTTAAAAACGTTAAAAATGTGACATATTTCTTCATAATGCATGTAGTTAGAACGCAAGGTGTTTTTACCTAAAAATCACCTTAATATTAAATAAATTATGCTTTAACACCGTTTAATTAAATATGTCTGATCTAACACCCTTCAGCCCTAAGGCGCATTTGGTGGGATGCGCCTATGACATGTTAGCCCTAAGGCACGTTTGGTGGGATGCGCCTATGCCCAGTCAGCATGTCACGTTGGAATGAGTGCTTTACACGGGAGGCGCATCCTCTAGGGCGCACCTTTCCCTCCCACCGCCCGACATTTCCTGCCTATTCCCCATCCCCTTCCCGCCAGTCTTTCCTGCCTATTCCTGTAACACCCTCAACCCATACCCGACCCGGATACGAGTCTAGGATGTCACATTGACTATCAAAAACAATATTCTAAAGAAAATAATAAAACTTTTGGATTTATATAACTAAAATACGATAATATACATAGGTTTGTACAAAGTTCATCCAAAATGCTCAGAGCATACACAACTTAACAGTTTAATTACATGCCAACATTCATTTACATAACAAAATGACCTACTGATTAAGTTGCTTCTGATCTGATAGTTGTAGGAGTAATGTTGTCCAGCTGCTTAATTTGTCTTGTCTACTATCTTGGATCCTACGTGTGAAGCACTCACACGTTAAGTCATCGACTCAGTGAGGCAATATAATAATGACAAGAAAATATAATGAGAATGTCAAAAATGAAATGAAGTGCAATGAACATATGCATTTAATCGGTGTAATATCCATAACCATGTTTCCTACACATAGACTTATCACATTAACACTCATAAGTTCATATTAATCAATTCACTAGCCCATGATACCATACTGAGAACCTAAGGTATGTGAGTACTGTGAGGTTGTGCACTATGTTGTCACCACAGCTCGTATAAATGCACCGAAGTGCCACGTAGAATTGCACCGAAGTGCCGCATAGAATTGCATCGTAGTGCCATATAAGATGTCCCTAAGGACTACGTAGAAAATTCCTTAAGAATCATATATATATGTTAAGGATCAAGTATATGTCTCAAAAGACATCACATATATTCTAAGGAATACATATATGTCCCAAAGGACCGCGTAGACCCTCTACTATTGACATGCCAACTATACCTATAGTTCTTATCTACATAACATGGGCTTTTCTCAACTTACATAATATATCACGTAGACATGTCAATTCCTCACCTTCATCACATAGCTCATATAACTTTGCATATATATTCATTTAAACATACTACATAATACACATAGTATGAATTCCTATTACGTTTCATAATATGAAATGAATCATGCATCAATGTATTGAATCTAGACTTATCACAAGTCTAGAACTGGATACACTACGATAATCATGTTATGCATATGCACTCACCTATATTTCTTTGCCTTTCCCTCGATCGATCTTATTGGGCAATTGTTCTGGAATTTGTTTAGGCTCTGTATCTACATAGTAATACATTGATACTTATCAGTATACTAATTAATATGTTCTAAACTATCATTTCTTAGGTTAAAAGAAAAACTATTTTCATCTCTTAATAAAGGTATGTATCGATGCACTCTACAGTGTATCGATGCACTCCTTAATGTGTGCATCGATGCACTACCAGTGCATCGGTACACAAATTACATTCGATGTTTTCTTTTTAAGGGGGATGCATCGATGCACTCCTTATGCATCGATGCACTAATTGCATTCGATGTTCATTTATTTGAGAGTGCATCGGTACACATTGAATGTGTACCGATGCACATAACCCAGAAATGTTATTTTTAGCACGAAATCCCTTCATAATCCTCTCAACACTACATAATTCACCTCATTTTATATCCCTAACTTTCATACACTTACTTAAACTAATTATTATCCATTCAATAACTCTAAAACTTAAAAATTCAATCCTCTATATAGAATTTAAGAATCTCACTCAAATTCCAACATGTTCTAATTCCTATTATAATACTTCATATTCCTTAATTAGCTTGATGACAAGTCAAATCCTACTTCCAATTCTTATTATGGACTCTATTCCAAGATTTCACTTTTCTACTTCCTTTTTTTAATTCTTCATATACTCCCCATCTTATGGTTTTAAAACAAATTAAACTTCCTTTAAGCTTAGCTATTGTCTAATGGTCATAAATCAACCATAAATTCATCAAGAAATTTACTAACAAGAGATATTACCTTTAGCTTGGGTCTCACATATGAAGAAGATGAAAAAGATGAGAACTCTGGAAACTTGTTTTTTGGTTTCCTAAACTTCCACGTGGGTTAATATAATACTAGCCCAAATAATTATCTTGCTATGAAAAGATAATTTTGTCCTTCTAATCCTCCTTCTTTATTAATTGATCCTACACAATATAGCTCAAATAAGTCATTTAACTTTTCAATCATTCTACTTTAATCACCAAATTCTAAAACTTTACAATTGAATCATTAACCCGGTATGGAGGATGTTACAAATCTCCCCTTAAGAAAATTTGTCCTCGAATTTTCAATAAGCAAAAAGATGGGGATATTGATTCCTCATATCCTCCTCACACTCCCATGTTGCTTCCTCTACCCTGTGATTCTTCCACAAGATTTTAACTAATGGGATAGCCTTGTTCCTCAATTGCTTAACTTCATGAGCTAAAATTTGAACCGGTTCTTCCTTATAAGTCAAATCCGGTTGCACCTCGATCTCTTCTGGGGTTACAATATGGGAGGGATCCGATCGATATCTCCGAAACATTGAGACATGCAATATATTGTGAATCTTTTCCATTCCTGGTGGCAAAGCCAATTGGTATGCTACTGGTCCCACTCTTTTTACAATCTCATATGGTCCAATAAACCGAGGACTTAACTTTCCTTTCCGACCAAACCTCAGCACATTCTTCCATGGATATACTTTTAAAAACACTTTATCACCAACTTGAAATTCAATTCCTTTCCTTTTTAGATATGCATATGATTTCTGTCTATCTGCTACAACTTTGAGATTATTCTGAATTATTTGGACCTTTTCTTCCACTTCCTGAATTAACTCAGGACCAAGAACTTCTCGATCATTAAGCTCATACCAGTTCAAAGGCGTACAATACTTTCTCCCGTATAGGGCCTCATAAGGAGCCATTTTAATACTGGACTGATAACTATTGTTGTAAGCGAACTCTGCCAGTGGTAAGTATTTCTCCCATGACCCTTTGAACTCTATAACACATGCTCTCAACATATCTTCCAAGATTTGAATAGTCCTCTATGATTGTCCGTTCGTCTGGGGGTGAAAGGATGTACTAAAATTTAAATGAGTCCCCAACGCTCTATGCAATGATTTCTAGAATCTTGAGGTGAATCGAGGGTCTCGATCAGAAACTATAGAAATAGGCACTCCATGCAATATAATAATTTCTCTAATATACAGTTCTGCATACTTTTTCGTAGAGAAATCAGCTATGACGGGAAGATAATGTGTTGACTTGGTCAATCGATCAACAATTACCTAGATTGAATTTCTTTTGTTCGGAGTCAAGGGTAACCCTAGAACAAAATCCATTGTCACATTTTGCCATTTTCATTGAGGAATAGAAAGCGGTTGCAATAATCTAGACATAACTTGATGTTCATCATTAACATGTTGACATATTAAGCACTTGGACACAAATTCTATGATGCTTCGTTTCATCCCTAGCCACCAATACCGATCCTTTAAATCCATATACATCTTGGTTTCACCCGGGTGCATTGTTAATGGACTGCAATGAGCCTCTGTCAATAAATCTTTCTTCAAATCTTCATCGACCGGTATCACAATTATTCCTTTATAATACAAATTTCCATCTGTCTTAACCTCAAAATCCTTATCTCTTTATTCTTTACTTGTTCTATTCTTTTCAAACCCATTTTATCTTTACTTTGTAATTATCCAATTCGATCCAACCATACTGGTTTAAGCTTTAACTCTGCAAATAAACCACCGTCTCCAGTTAAAGATAGTCTTGCGTTAATAGCCCGTAAGGCTGCAAACGTTTTTCTGCTCAAATCATCTGCTACCACATTAGCCTTTCCAGGATGGTAGTCAATTATCACATCATAATCTCTTAAGAACTCAACATATATCCTTTGCCTCAAATTAAGCTCTTTTTGAGTCATCAGATACTTCAAACTTTTATGGTCCATATACAAATAGCATCGTTCTCCATATAGATAATGACGCCAAATCTTGAGAGTGAACACCACTGCAGCCATTTCTAAATCATGGGTGGGGTAATTCCTTTCATGTGGTTTCAATTATCTCGATGCATACTCTACCACCTTCCCTTCTTGCATTAATACACAACCCAACCCATTGTGGGACGCGTCACTAAATACGACAAAATTCTTGCCAGATTCTGGTTGAACCAATATAGGAGCTTCTGTCAAAATTCCCTTTAAAGCTTCAAAACTTTCTTGACATTTAGAAGTCCAAACAAACGATACATTCTTTCTCATCAATTTCGTTAAAGGAAGTACTATCATCGAAAAATTCTTAACGAATCTTCGATAATAACCGGCAAGTCCAAGAAAGCTCCAGACTTCCGATACATTCTTTGGAACCTCCCAATCCAAAATAGCTTTTATCTTTTGAGGGTCCACCCGAATCCCATCTGCAGAAATTACA